GTGTGTGTTTGGTGTGTGTGTGTGTGTGTGTGTGTGTGTGTGTGTGTGTGTGTGTAGAGAAAGCAGGGTTCTAAACATTGCTCGCATTCCTCAGCTCTGTGTGTAAAGAGACGAGCCAAAGGTCAAACACGCAGTAAAAGAGAAAAGTATATGCACTGCTGTTGGAGTGAAGGACGGAGGGAAAGTGGAAAGGGAGGTGTGTGTGTGCGTGTGTGAAGAAACGCATGCCTTCATGTTGTAATATAGATACAGTGCATGTGAACACACATTGTATACATCAATCTGTGTGTTTTTGTGTGTGTGTCTAGGTGTCAATATGTAGTTCAAAACAGTGGTGTGTGTCTGATCTCGTAAAACTAACAGACAGAGTTGTGATGGACATGATGCACTGTCAGCTATGGGAGAACATATAACACTGTCAGATTACTTGACATGTTAATGTGCCTTGAAAGCAGGCTTTGGTAGTAATGGATTACATAATCAGAAAACAAATAAGAAAACTGTATTCCCTCACAGAATGGTTCATATGATCAGTGTTGGGTGTAACGCGTTACAAAAGTAATAGAGTTACAGTAATATATAACTTTTTGCTGTAACGAAGTAATGTAACGCATTACTTATGAAATGAGGGTAATATATTACCCGTTACAATGCCCAGTAACGCAGTTACAACACATTTCAACCCGAAATTAAATGATGTTTTGTTTTTTAACAATGTACTAACATAGCGAGACATTCCGACACCAGACAAATTGTGCGGGTAGATTAGTAAACCTGGTGTTTACCCTTCAGGCTTCGCGTCGGGATCTTCGGGGCAGTTGAATGTTATGCACCCTCTATTCAAAAAAGAGAACGGAGCGAAAAATACAAACAACAAATGGTGTCAGGTGCGCGTGACCTGCTCCGCTGCGCGTGCATCATTTCAAAGTGCTTCAGCAGTGACACACATCTGTGGATAATCATTTATACGAGAATGGTTAAAGCAACCATCACTAAACGCCAGCAACACTGCATCTACTGCAGACCGTAGCAACGGGTCAGATGGGGACATCACGTTACCCTCCGTTGTGGACACTAGCTTACTCCCGCCTGACTCGCCGCCCTCGCCCCCGGAGCAGCAGTCTTCGTCTCCCCAAACTACGCCACCCCTCTGCGGCCCGCAGGTGCCAGGATACCACGGCAAAACAGAGCCTGCCCAGGTATATCTAAACAAGTACCCGCCTGTACAGTGGGGTTAGTCGGTCATTTTGCAGCTCGTGGTATACAAATAGACAAGGGCTAGAATATTCATGTGAAATAGTGCCATATTCTGCCATGCCTGTAGAAATGTTGGGTCAAATAATGCATACAATAGCACAGATGCCTTTACCACGAATGGCTACAAAAATATCTAATATCCCAAGCTTATCAACAAGCTAATGTTGCAGCTGAAATGTTCTCCAGGTCACAAAGTCAACCTCACATGATGATGTGATCCAGTTTTCAAGCACAGTAAATATTCTCTTCCCAGAGTATATGATGGGACCAAAGTGATGTTTTAGTACATGGTTTTAATAATACTTTTGCTTTTCAATGTTTGCCATTTCAAACCATGAGCTGGTTCAAATCATATTTGCCTTGATTTACGATATGTTCTCATTTCTTTTATCAGTACAGTTTTGAAGCTTTTGTGCTTTTCTTTGCCACAGTCCACTTTGGACTATATGAGATATTTCAGGATTGCACTTTTAACTCACTTGAAATGTTCTCACTTGCTTGGTTTCAAAACATAACAAAGGCCATAATGTGTTCATTGGGGACCATCAATGCTATTTTTCATTGCTGTTGCCGGCCACTATTGCTCATGTAAACCTGCTACTGCTACGCCCCCTGTAATCTCAGAGGCACCCTGAGTCATGTTGTTCTGGAGCCGGGCCTGTACACGGCCATATACTAAACACACTACAGAGCCCATTCCGTGTCCTGTTATTGTTTACTTCCTGTCTGCCTTCTTCTGGTGATTTATCTGACGTCCAGCGCTCCGTCTTTTAACCTCTTTTCCTTTCTCTTTCTGGATCCTCCTTAGCAACCTTCATTATAGTCCTTGACAGTCTGGACTGCTGTATTAACAACGTGTCACATGTTAAGAAGCTACAATCAGAATCGAGTATTCAACTCAGCCGTGTAATGCAAGTTGTTAGTAGCCTTAAGGGCCTACACAGTGGTTATGCTATACCACATTGCCCTTCACTGGATGTATAATGAGCTGCACTAAACTACATGTTAGCATTTAAAATACCTAGCCATTCTTTTGTGGTTATTTTGGTGAAAGTAACTCAAAAGTAACTAAAGTAGTGTAACTCATTACATTTCAGAGACAGTAATATTGTAATGTAACTTATTACTTTCAAAAGACAGTAATAAGTAATATGTAATATATTACATTTTGCAAGTAACTTGCCCAACACTGCATATGTAATCAGTTATCCCGTATGTTCATAAAACAGTGTGTGTGAGCTTAACTGTAGGTAATAAATGAAATTGTTTCTGCTTTTTTAAACTGTAGTATGTGCTCATGTGTTTCATTGTTGGTGTATCGGCTGCTGCCTGAATATGCTTCATTATAGGCGGGTTTTCCTATAAATACAATCTCTGAGTTAAGTTTAGTTTAACAAGTTAACATTCTTGTGTTGTCTTACATAATACACTGACTTTTATTTTATATTGAGGGTATCCAAAATTAAAAACAAAGTAATCACTGTGCATTACTTTTATATTGTGATACTTAAATTTGGTTATTGATTACTGACATCAACCTTAGCACACATGTGAAGATGAGGTCTGAATTGCGACAGTCTACATCAGGGGTCGGCAACAGGCGGACCGCGGTCCGGATCCGGACCCAGGGGCCGACCTATACGGACCCGGACCTATAATCAATACATTAATAGAGGATTTCAATTTTGACGAGGCGATTCTATTTTAACCGCCACCGACAGGGGGCGAAAGAGACGAGTGAGCGATACAGGGAGAGAAACACAGAAGAAGAGACGAGAGAGAGATACAGGGAGAGAAACACAGAAGAAGAGATGAGAAAGCGATACAGGGAGAGAAACACAGAAGAAGAAACGAGAGAGAGAGATACAGGGAGAGAAACACAGAAGAAGAGATGAGAAAGCGATACAGGGAGAGAAACACAGAAGAAGAAACGAGAGAGAGAGATACAGGGAGAGAAACACAGAAGAAGAGACGAGTGAGCGACACAGGGAGAGAAACACAGAAGAAGAGATGAGTGAGCGATACAGGGAGAGAAACACAGAAGAAGAGACGAGTGAGCGATACAGGGAGAGAAACACAGAAGAAGAGACGAGTGAGCGACACAGGGAGAGAAACACAGAAGAAGAGACGAGTGAGCGACACAGGGAGAGAAACACAGAAGAAGAGACGAGTGAGCGACACAGGGAGAGAAACACAGAAGAAGAGACGAGTGAGCGACACAGGGAGAGAAACACAGAAGAAGAGACGAGTGAGCGATACAGGGAGAGAAACACAGAAGAAGAGATGAGTGAGCGATACAGGGAGAGAAACACAGAAGAAGAGACGAGTGAGCGATACAGGGAGAGAAACACAGAAGAAGAGACGAGTGAGCGACACAGGGAGAGAAACACAGAAGAAGAGATGAGTGAGCGACACAGGGAGAGAAGCACAGAAGAAGAGACGAGTGAGCGACACAGGGAGAGAAACACAGAAGAAGAGACGAGTGAGCGATACAGGGAGAGAAACACAGAAGAAGAGATGAGTGAGCGACACACGGAGAGAAACACAGAAGAAGAGACGAGTGAGCGACACAGGGAGAGAAACACAGAAGAAGAGACGAGTGAGCGATACAGGGAGAGAAACACAGAAGAAGAGACGAGTGAGCGACACAGGGAGAGAAACACAGAAGAAGAGACGAGTGAGCGATACAGGGAGAGAAACACAGAAGAAGAGATGAGAGAGAGATACAGGGAGAGAAACACAGAAGAAGAGACGAGTGAGCGATACAGGGAGAGAAACACAGAAGAAGAGATGAGAGAGAGATACAGGGAGAGAAACACAGAAGAAGAGACGAGAGAGCGACACAGGGAGAGAAACACAGAAGAAGAGACGAGAGCGCAGCAGAGAGAAGCGGAGAGGAAAGTGAGTGAAGAGAATAATTAGCGATACAGGGAGAGAAGACGGAGAGGAGAGTGAACAGGCGTGTTAGCGGCAGACAGGGAGAGACACATAATTACACATGGCGCTCTCCAAGAAGAGGAAAGTGGACAGAGAGAACAGAGCTTTTAACCCTGAGTGGAATCATTCATGTTCCTCCTGCCCACTGGGAGCACAGAACCAGTGTGTCTCATTTGTTCAGAGACTGTGGCGCTCATTAAAAGTGCCAAAACGCCACTATGAGACAAAACACAAAGTGTTTGACCAAACATTCCCTCTCAACTCAGAACTGAGGTCAAATAAGCAGTCTCAGAGCCCAATATGATCAGTCCACCAGGATCAACATTAAAACTAAATATGGTTCCAGGGCAGGCTAACCGAGGCTAACCAATGAGCTAACCGAGGCTAACCAATGAGCACCTGCATGTGTGTATGAGAATGGCCCTGACACCATTTCAGCCCAGATCTAAACTCCTGGCAGGACAAGCTCCAGCACAATTCTCGCACTGAATCAAAAAAGTGAGTGAGGGTCTGCAATATAAGAGGGACAGAAAGAGAAACTTTAAAACTGTTCAATCGTTATGATGTGTAAAGACTGATGTTGTTCTATAATCGGCTGAAACTGTTAAGTCATGATGTGAAACGGTTAACAAAGAAAAAGGGAAACTCAAGCTGCTGCTACACTCTATTTTATTTATCTAAAATTAAGCACTTTTAAGATGCACACATTTTCAAAAGCTATTATTTATTTTCTCTATTTAATTTTTAAATGCAGCCCGAGAGGAACATTACACATATCCACATATTTACTGTATATCTGTATAGTTCAATGTTCATTGACAATACATATTGTTGTTTTTTTAATTGTACTTTATTTGATTGGCAGTCAGCTGTTGATTACATGCAGACGTTGATAAAGCTACAGCTACTTCAATATATATCACACTAATTCATAAAGCAAGTTAGACATTTTGATCTTCCGGACCTTTGCATGGGGACATTTTCTCTAACTGGACCTCGTTGAATTTTAGTTGAATACCCCTGGTCTACATGAAGTTTTGGAGAATATTAAAGTGAAGGATTCAACATTTAGACTGCCTACTCTGCTTGTTAACACATTGTTGTAACCATCAAGGTTGAACTGGTTCATTCATTGTCTCAATAGGCCAAAAAGTTTTGTGAAGCCGCCATTTTGTTATCCTCGCATTAGCATTAGCCCAGCGCAGGAACGCAGAGACTATTTAGGCGCATTCACACCGCAGTACTTTTCCCACAAAGGTTCATCAGAAATTAGTTCATGAGAACTCTTTAGTTCTCATGAACTAAGTACAGATCGCGTTCACACCGGAATAAGTCCCTGAGGAAGGATTAGGCAAATGAAGCCGCTGCCGTCACTTCTTCTTCTTCTGCTTTGGGTTTACTGGCAGGCCGCAAACAACTTCAAGGCGTATACTGCCACCCAGAGTTGGGGACTGGCTTCAGTAGAAGTTGCTGGGACTCCCAGCAGCTTCTACTGAAGCCTTCCGAGTAAATCGCCAGAACGCCGACACCTCCTCATCTCCACCGCTCCCATGTTTTCTTTTGTGTTGCCATAAGTTAGTCTCTCTGCGTTTCTGCGCTGGGCTAATGCTAATGCTAATAATGCTAATGTGAGACAAAACATTTTGGGAGTTTTACGGGGCGTGGTTTGCAATCCGCCCAGCCAATCAGACATAGGAACCTTTTTCTCCCACGGAAGTCCCTGCTCTCTAGCAGGGACGGAAAAGGGGGTAAAAAAGGTTCTGATTAACTCATTTTAGTTCCGGCTCTTTTTGGTGTGAACGCGACATTTCGGAACTATATCGGAACTAAAGTGGGAAAAGTACTGCGGTGTGAACGCGGCATTTGACAGTTAAAAGATGGCAGACTGCCAAATGCTGCAGAACGTCTGAGTAACACGCCTCAAACACACATGACATGGAAACTGAACTCATTACATGAAAGCTCCTCAGCAATATTTGGATGGATCCTCTCCTGTAATTAAAGTCTTACTCATCTGCTGCTATTATGTTCAATGCTACACTTTAAGTGGTTCTGGTAGAGTTAAGATGCTTCACTTATCCACATAAATAACATACAGGAAATGTAAAATGTCTAAACGTTAGATCTAAAATACTCTTCGCAGGTTAGTAATCTCCTTTAAAAGCTTGATTGGGTGCAGTCAGGTGTCTGAAGTACAACTCTTTATTTGTTTTGTGCCATAGAGCTATTCCTGTCTGTGCTGCAAAGCAACACATCAGATTGCACTGCCATATAAACTGTCAGATGACATGAGACTGTTACATGCTGCCCGTTTTCTAATCTGTTATTGGTGTTGTGTTTTTTGTACTAGTCTTCATTTGCAGATAAAAGCCTGTGCACACAGGTGCACGGAGCAGTGACTGAGCTTTGGCTTAGAGTGAAACAGCAGCTTCTCAATAGCAGTTGGCCTGTCTATGAGAAGCTTTGTGCGTTTGTGTCATATGCAAATGCATAAAAGAGAGGGAAGGAGAGACATTGATAGTGTGATAGAGTGTGTGTGTGTGTGTGGATCCTTCTCTTACCCAGCTCATCTCGGAGGGTTGCCAGTTCCAGGGACAAGCTCTTCTTCTGCTTTAAGGTCTCCTCGCGCTGCACACAAGAGAAGAAGAAGAAGAGACTCAAGGCTGTGTCTAAGGTCATTCTCTACTCCTCCTGTTAGATATAGAGCAGTGTGTACACTGCGATCACTAGCAGCCTGACTGTGCACAGTGAGTCTCAGCCAGTTCACTCATCGCAGCGATCATTGTTTGATGATTTCTGTATACTTCCAAAGGTTCAGTATTCTCACTATGGTTTTTGGACAAAACATCAAACTGGTGTACACAGCCGTAGACCACATAGTCGACAGTGAATTATTTCAAAGACGTTTGTCATTCTGGGTTTCAAATTGCACTGATCACAGGACAGTGAAGCTTCAGCGTTGACTACAGGACACTTTAGTAAAGGTCAGCTGGGGTCGGAGAGGCCGGAGTTTATAAAGACAGAGAAAAGAGCTAGGGGTACGACAAATATTAGAGCAAGCTTATGGAAGCAGGGTATCATAATCCCATTTGGTTGTAAAATAATCAAGCTACTAACATGCACCATGGCTGAAAACACCCGATGTGGTGATGCTCACAACATCTGTAGGAAGTCAAAAAGACTGCTTCCCCTTGAAGTTAAAGCTTAACATTCAAAAGCAAATTCAGAATCAACCAAAAACAAACAAACATTTTTACATTCATATTTCCATACTCATACAGACATCAAGATAAATGATTCTCTACTCATTTAATCCCTAACACACACTATACAGCTGCTTACACCAGCCCAACTCACACACAGTCACACACACACACACACACACACACACACACACACACACACACACTATACAGCTGCTTACACCAGCCCAACTCACACACAGTCACACACACACACACACACACACACACACACACACACACACTATACAGCTGCTTACACCAGCCCAACTCACACACAGTCACACACACACACACACACACACACACACCTGCTTACACCAGCCCAACTCACACACACTCACAGTCACACTCACTCACACACACAGTCACACTCACTCACACACACAGTCATACTCACACACACACAGTCACACTCACACACTCACTCACACTATACAGCTGCTTACACCAGCCCAACTCTCACACACACACACACACACACACACACACACTCACCCATAAAATGCATCTGTTGTGAGAGGGGTCAGTAAAAGGGAAGAGCTGACAGGGGGGGGGGGCCAAAGGGTAGAGACAGCTTGTAATAATGAGCACATGTTTCTGTCAGTGAAACACAGAAGAGAGATTACTGGAGTACCAACAGAGAAGATATGATCCAAGTTTGAGGCGACATAAGGCAACTTCCTAAAGCCAGACTTCTGCTGAGAGCTGATCAGATGGGAAGAGCAACAGAAGAAGAGAGAAGAAACACATGTACACAGACACACACACTTACAAACACACAAACACACCTTGCGTTTCTTCTTGCGGCGGTGAGGGGGGGCCTCTCTGGGCTTGTGGTGGGCTTTGCTGGTCGTGGAGCCCATATTTCGTTGAGCGAAGAAACAAAAACACACACACACCAAATTCTTCAGTCCTTACTCTCTCTCTGTCACTGATACCCTCCCTCTACAGCAGCAGGCAACATTAACTACAAAACTCACACACACACACACACACACACACTCTCTGCCCGCCTACTCCATGGGACTATCTCTCCCTTCCACTCCTCCCCCTCTCTACCTGTTCCCCACCCTGCCCTGTCTCCTCCTTCCACCTGCACCCCCCTCCTGGCTGGTTACTGTATGATGGAATGGAGCAATGTGAGTTATTCTGCACCACCTTCTTTCCTTATCTTTATTCTTATCTCCCTTTCTCTCGTTCCGAGTCATTTACACAAACAACTGGTTCCTCTCGAAACTCAACTTTAACTGTGTCTATTGTTCTGTTTTAAGTTACACTAAAAAAAACTTCCTTCTGTTGGAGGTAATAGACATCAACAGATCAGAGCAGTACACCAACAAACGGCTGCTGGCACTTTGGGAGGATTTCTCAGTTTCAGTACATTTGGTTTGGTTTCAAAGCGTTTTCTACTAAATGGATTTCCCCACCCAACCAAACAGCCCCCCCCCACAGGCCCCCCAGGTGTAGGTCTTCCTGAGTGTGCCGTGTATACTCACCAGTCACTTTAAGTGTATGAGACTGATTAGATAGCCTTGGTATTCATGCTTCAGATAAAAACACATATATTATCTCACACACGCATATGAAAGAGCTGCATTCCTCCCCTCTCCCTCTCTTCCATTCATCACTCCCCCTTCACCTCCACTTTCCTCAGGACATCCGCCCAATCAATGACCAGGAAATGCATGTAAATCAATGTAATGTCCCCTGAAGTGGTGTGTGTGTGTGTGTGTGTGTGTGTGTGTGTGTGTGTGTGTGTGTGTGTGTGAAAATAGCATCTCGTTATTAGTATTTAGTCTAAACTTGTTGAGAAGAATGTGAGGTGAGGAGCAGCCACATGCTTGTTGTACATAATGGTGGGACAATACATGGTCACTTGTGAAATCTACTCAAAGTACAGCAGCTTGGGTGGATTGGACAAAGCTGAACTCCAGTAAGTGTGGGTGTGTGTTAGTAGAATCCCCTGAGGGCTCACTGACTGAAGGCTAATGCTGTCTGCTCCTCTGCCCCCTCTACCTCATACAACACACCCAGTCCAAGAGAAGAGAAGGAAGAAACAGCAGATCTATTCAAAGTGCTGATTTCAATGATGTACACACATTTAAACACACACAAGAAGCAGGTCTAATGAAGGGTTCTGCACACTGGATAAGGTGCGCCTGCTTGATGATAGTTATTGTGGCTGGACTAAAAAGACTTCTAGTTATGTGTGTCTGTATGCATTCATTTATATTCACACACCATATTGCACTGCAAACATGAAATCACTATAGTCCCAGTAATCTGACAGCAAATATTGACGGGGCATCCATGTCCGCCTGTGTGACACACACATCCTGGTGTCTGATAAATGGACCAATCAAATGCCTTCGACTCAACCCACTGTATGAACTGACTTCATTTACGCTGTGTATGATTTCACCCAAATGGAGATATGTTATGCTTATGGAATTGTAAGCTGTGAATTCACACCAGGATATGTTCAGAAACACTCAACGCATAGGCTGCTGTTAATGAGAGCTCAGTGATACACTCTCTGCTGTCTCAACGCTTCACCCTACAAACAGACATTGCTGCACTGCTCCTCCATCCCAGCACCAACTACTGAGTGATGCTCTAATTGTAGGCTGTGGGTTATTTTTCTAATTTGCCAAAGGGGAAGGATGGTGTGCAGGTAACGGATAGTTTCACCTTGTTTTCCCCTTGAAGCTGCACTAGACCATACTTACAAACACATCTACATTTGAAGCGCTGTGGAGCCACAGCGGGAGAAAGGGACCATTCCCCACCAAGTGATGCTGGAGACCCACCTTATTTCCCAGAAACAGTATTAGCATTGGTGGGGGGGTTCTCTTACTCACAGGAGGTACAATACTGTTGTCTTCACCAGAATCTGACTACATCAACATGTTAGCTCTGATCCTTTGGATAACCACAACAGTACTTCTTCAAGCTTCCTTTAATATCAGAACATACTTTCAGCCGTGTGAAGGAAATCCTTGTTGGAGTATTGGCAGGAAACAAATTGTGGATGCTGGATCTCTGAAACTTCTTACTAAATTGGAGGTTAAATTAACCTGTTAAGCCCTGAGCCTGTTTTTCAGGTTTCAGGCTCGAAAATGACATTCCCAGAACAAATGACTATATCTTCACTTCTAAAAGGGTTAAATTAATAATCTTTTTTCTCAAAGCAATGATAAACCTGTGAGTTGGATGTAGAAGAGTCAGAATCAATATAGAATTGTTTTATTTTAAAGTAAATTCAGATTGAACATAGTAAATAAATGTAAATGATAGTGTCCGTCCAAAACAGGGGGTTACGTATTGTAACCCTAGTTATATAAGCACAGGCGGAGCCCTCTACTGGACTCTATGGGTACTACTCTCTATCATGCTGTGCGTGCTTTCACCTACTGAGTTTACGTAAGCGTAGCCGGCCAATCGGGGCGAGCCTACCTGAATGCGCGCGCAGGCCCACAGTATATAAAGGCGGCTACACCCGCCGCCCACTATCCTATACACTCTTCAGCGAGCGGACTAGGAAAGACAGGGCCCCCAGGTAGAGGGCTCCGCCTGTGCTTATATAACTAGGGTTACAATACGTAACCCCCTGTTATATTTCACACAGGCTCCGCCCTCTACTCGACTCTATAGGTACAGTAGGCGGAGCCCCGATGTATACACGACACGCCCTGTCATCCAACAACATCGACCCACCACACCGTCCCTGACCGGCTTTTGGCTAACATCCATTGCATCCCCACTTCCTCCCATCCGGTTGTAACCGTACAGAAGTCGGGCCACAATTTGGATAAGGCACACTCACACACGCTTACCTCGTGTAGAGTGTGCATGGAAAAGATATGTGCGGAGACTCCGTCTGGAGCCTACCGCGCACCATGTTCCCCAGGTCCCTCAGGAGCATGGGAAAACATAAGTGCACCACGTCCCCCACACTCACACACGCTCTGTGTAGAGTGGGCATGGAAAATAGTGAGGAAGGCTCTCCCAGCCTGCCTCCAGCCCTGTATGGGGCTGATTGCGCACCATGTCTCCCGAGTCCCTCAGGAGCATGGGAAAACACAAGTGCTTTATGTCCGGGGGGGGGGGGGGGGGGGGGGGGTCAGACACCTGCTGACCCACAGCCACCCCCCCTCTCACCAGTCATGCGTTGCCTCGGCAAGCACAGACGACGAGAAGGAGCCAGACATGTCCAGGAGATAACATTTTATGAAGGAGCCTGGCGTAGACCAAGACACCGCCGTGCATATATCTTCTACACTCACGCTGCTGAATAAGGCTGTTTGACACAGCCCGTGTAGAATGTGCACGGACCCCAGTGGGGAGGGCTCTCCCCGCCCGTCCATAGGCATGTGTAATGCA